TATTCGACGAATGCAGTTCAATAGCAACAACAGCAACAACAACAGCAACAACATCAGCAACAGCAACAAATCATATCGGCTGCCGAAGCTAATCAACTGCATTCGTCGAATAATAATTATCTGCATAATAGACATTTGCAGCATTTAAGCAGTTTGAGTCATCATTATACGCACGCCTATCACACCACTAATCAGCAATCAATATTAATTAATCAGCAACAATTGTCACATCAACATCAACAGCAACAGCAAGAACAGCATTATCAACACCAGCAACAGCATCAGCTCGATCAGTTGTACGCCCACCAGCAATTAGAAAATCAACAGCAACATCAGCAACAGCAACAACAACAACAACAGCAGCAGCAGCAGCAGCAGCATTGGGATTATTATGCCCGGCAACCGCTTTCTCATATACAGCAACAACAGCAGCAACAGCAACAACAACAGCAACCGCTGCAATCAGCCACACCTACTAGCACTAGTACGACTAATAATAATAATGCCACCTCCCGTAATGCCAACGGTGCCAGTTCCGCGAATGATACTCAGCAACAAAGTGGTAGCAATACCACAAACAATCCGGAAAATGCTGCAACAAGCAACACAAGCGATTCAGTAACTTGCCAATCCAATAGTTCCAATAGCTACACACGTCCTTGGGAAATGGAGTCTAAAGACAATAGTAACTCCAACAATTCCAATTCTACGCCAAAGAGCGGTTTTGAGCCCTTCTCAAAATTGCCTTCATTTCAAAGTCAATTTCATGGCTACACCGAACAGTTGATGGCGGACGGTACGCCTATGCCGACGGGCTCGTCCATCTCTTCGGCCACGGCCACAGCAGGGTTAACGTCAGCTATGTCATCACTGCAAACAGTGGCCATGTCTCCGGCAAGTATGTCAGTGAGTTCACCCGGTATGGTCAGCATGGGCTCACCACTTACACAATTGACAGGCTTGCAAGCGAGTATAACTCCGCCATCAAGTGGTTTTGCCGCTTTGGGTGCACCAATGCCTCACAATGCTTTCCATTCGCATCCTTTGGGAGCAACAGCTGCACATCATAGAACACCGTACCCGTTAATGCCAGCCGCCTTGCAGGCTCGCGACATAGTCAGCACTACACTGCCTAATAGCACTATAACTACGACTGGATATGGTGATCCGCTACTCTATCAACCACTAACGCCGTCGTATGCGTCTACAACGCCAGCTGCTTTGGCTGTACCCTCTGCAATAACACCAACGGGCTCAGGTTCTTCGTCAATCGGTAAAAAAGACGTCACGATATCAGCATTTGATCTCAATACAAATTCAAACGCTTCACAGCTGAGTGCCCCCACTTCAAATACCCCAAATACAGTAACCACACCGCTCGGTATGCACACTCCTACTCCATCTTATGACGGAGCTAGCAGTTCGTCATTAATGGATATATCAAATGGAACTGGAACTGGTGCCGGTTATCACACACCGCATTCAACGCACACAAATGCGAGCAGTACTGGATCTCATACTCCACATACTACGCAACCGCATACTCCTACGCCATCCACAACATCCATTAAACCAGAAAAGGTCCTTAATTCGCCGGTAGCCAGAGTAGACGCAAGAAAAAAGGAGCGACGGAAAAATCGAGCTCATTCACTCGAATCGAATGCTGAATCTGAGTCCAGTGCCATGGATTTGGATCCTAGTAATCCGGGTCAGGTTGACGCTGTATCTAGTACCGCTAACTTTAAGAGTCCCATCGGCAGCATGAACGTTGGCGATGGAAATGAAAGTGCAGGCGAAAAACAGGTGAGCGATGATTTCAATCTACGCCTTATTTACGCCAAAAATATCATATATCATTTTCACAACGCCTTCTCATAGACCTCTATGAATTCTACATCTGTCCTATTTCAGTCCAAAAAGAAACGTAAACGTTGTGGCGAATGCATCGGCTGTCAACGCAAAGACAATTGTGGCGAATGTGCTCCCTGTCGCAACGACAAATCCCATCAAATCTGTAAACAGCGTCGCTGCGAAAAACTTACCGAAAAGAAGGTAAGCCACCTTAAAAACCTTATATTTTTTAACTATTAGTCGTCCGTAGCCATTAAACTTATGCCTTTCGTCTTTCGTAAAGCAATACTAGCGTCTCCTTGCAAATTCTTAGATAGATTACATAACACGATACCAAGCTCATTATCATTATCATTATCATTAGATTTTAATAAACGACAGACAGACATATCATATCATGTCAACGGGTTATGGGAAATGTCAAATATGAAAACTGAAAAGTTTCATGCATAGTTCAACATAATACGCATTATTAAAGTTTTCACGTCATCAGTGGGCGGAGTTGATTTACTTGCGCATATAAACAAGCAAAGGGCATAAGAGACGAATTTCAACTTTCGATTTCAATGCTAACGATGACGTGAAAGGATTTTCAACACGCCAATCGATCGGGGGAGACGTTCGGTATCGAGTGCACAATTTCTGAGACCTCTAATGCGTATATTCGATGACGCGTGCAATGACATTAAAAGGAACTTAGTTTTGCTCAATCGCGATTTCTGAATATATGGGAAACATACATACATACTTTTACATACATATAATTTCTATATGTAATTTTACATGTGAATGAATGAATAAAAAATAAAAAAAATCAGTGAATATATGTACGTACGAACACGTACGCGTACGCAGGTATGTGTTTCAGCTGTGATTACGTCCGTTCTGTTCGCATGCATTCTGTTTGTTTTGTTGGACAATGGGCAACAGATGTTTCTCATCGAGAGTTACAACGCGTCGTTCAAGTATTTTACAATTTTTTTGCTTTCGGTTGTTTTTTTTTTTTTTTTTTTTTTTTTTTTTTTTTGTTTTTCCTCTCTGTATTGTTATTTTCTTTCGCCAAACGGCATCAGTGAAGATGTTACCAAGGATGCACATGTAACCCAAATAAAATGCATGCGTTCATTATTAAAGTATACGTATGAATAAAAATGCTACTAACCAGAAAGTTAGCCAGCCAGCCAGCCAGCCAGCCAGCCAGCGAGCCAGCGAGCCAGCGAGCCAGCGAGCCAGCGAGCCAGCACCTCTTTAAGTAAACGACGGCAACGACAACGACGATCTCTAAAACGGGTTCCTTCATTACAAACAAAAGTGTTACAACTGCTTGCGATCAGGTGTGATCAGTTTGTCCGAATAAAATGCAAAAAACTGGATTACTGGATATTTGTCCGTATGTCCGTACAATTTATTGTTGCTCTGGTTGCTGTTGTTGGTGTTTTCGTCGTTGTCTTTTTTCTTTTATTTTTTTAAGTTTCATTTACGAGGATATTACCGCATTTCCGTTTGTAATTTGTTAAATAAGTGACATTAATTATGATTGTCAGCAATAGCAACGATAACGGCAACGGCAACGGCAACG